TGTCACTGTTCTGCTTTTGGCTTGCAATTTATAATTTTCAGCTTTCTCTTTACTTTTATGTCAAATGTTTTGATTTGTAATAAGCTGCTCACATGGAATATTGTATTTGTTCTGAAATGCAGTCAGTTGGAGGGCAGTTTGTTTGTGTGGTCTTCTCCAGGCTATTCTTTCTTTGCATCACCTTTCTTGTTTCTTGCCTGGGGAAAGGATTAGTATTAGATTATCTTTAATGCAGCTTCTGCTTTACTGGTCTCTGGTTTCTCAGGTGCTTCAGTGGGCCCCATTAAAGGCAGCAAGGCTTCTAGGTTCTCTCTTTTTTCACTCCTAAACAGATTTACCATAAAAAGATTTTACATGAGAACGTGGGTGAGTAATATTACCTGCTGCAGACTGGATCTGACCAAACAAGATAGAACCTGGGGCTGTGCGGTAGTTTTGGGGCCGAAGGCTACACCTGATCTTCAAATCTTATATCAGAGGTTACACACCAAAAAGGGATGAAAAACAGGGCAAAAGAAAAATAAAAAGAAATATTTAATTTAATTTAATTACAGTTGATATGATGACTCCCTTGTATTTTGCAGTTTCCTTCCCTGTCAAATGAAAATGATAAATCAGTAGCAACTTTTTGGAGGAGCCCTACATACCTCACCCAAACATATGGAGGACATGCAGGACTGGGTTTGGCACTCCTGCTTTAGCCTATCAATTCCCAAACCATAATTTACTTGACAACATTTAAAACGTCACAGAACTGCTTGTTTTGTTTTGTTTCAAGTCAAAGTACATCCCTTTGCTGAATTATACATTTTGTATATATTTCCCTCTCTTGGATTGATTCTTATGCTTTTTCCATGCAGCAAATTTGCGCACAGCTGGTTTCTTTTTTTCTTTTCTTTTTTTTAATATCATAAGGCTACAACCCTATACTCACCCACTTGGGAGAAAGTCTTATTTAACAGAACTTATTTCTGAACAGTCAGAAATAAGTGAGACTAAGTCAGACTAAGGGTGAGGATGAGATAACTGGATGTGCTTTATAGCCTGGAAGGAGAGTAAGGAGGGTGGGAGGAACCGAAGGGGAAAAGAAAGGACAGGCAGTTCCATTAAGGCTATAATGCAGGAAGGGTCATGTCTAAAATTCCCCTTCAAATCAAGCTCTGTTCCAGGTGAATATACAGATATCTTGATC